ATAAAGAGGTATTTATAATAATTATATCTTGGTACCAATCATAAAGAGGTATGTATAATAATTTTATCTTGGTACCAATAATAAAGAGGTATGTATAATAATTTTTCTTTTTCCCCAATCCTTTCACCTATAAGTTGTGGTTGTGCTCACTTTACAGACTACTATTTTTAGTAGTTAATTATATTTTACAAGGATGAAAAGAAGTATATGATACTATGTATGACTTGGCATGTTAATATGCAAATGGTCATGTACCATGTTATACTTATTCTACAGGCTGTTATAGGTGAGCTATCTCGCCCGTCACTGTTGTCTAACTATGTTTAGTTAACATCTTTACAGTGGCACTTGATTGGAGAGTTCTGAACAGGGTCTGTCTGTCTGCACCATTCTCTTCTATTTTCTTTTCCACCCTTCTCCACTATTTTCTTGGCACACATGTGAAATGCATTCTGAACTGTTTCAACTTTTTTATTAAACATTCTGTCCATAAATCTTGAACATGCAGAAGTCACCAATCGAGCGGCCCCAAGGCACAAACTTATGTTAAAATTGACATAAATAAGTATAGATACTGACAAAATCATTTTTATGAAATGAAATGGGGGGCGTATATTGTCGTCATGTGACGGATTTTGACAAAACTTGGTGTGAGCGATTGTAACCACACATATTGGAAATCAGAAAAATAGAAAAATAATTTATATGAGTTATTGCCCTTGTTCTTGAAAACGCGTCCAAATTTAGCTTGTTAACACTCTAGATTTTGACGAAATTTGGTGAAATTGTTTATTATCACCCATTGATAAATCCTTTTGAAAATCAAAAAATGTTTAATAGGAAGAGTTATTGAAAACGCTTCAAGTTTTAGCTCGTACACACTAAAATGCACGATTCTTGCTGGATTTTGAAGAAACTTGGTAATATTATCCAGTATCGCCTCAAAAAGTTCAAAAGAAGTGTATGTCTGAAGGTTGAATATTTCATACTGGTAATTGTTACTGTACTGTCAAATATTTTTATTTAAAAATCAAAGCTGCCAGTGGGCGTATATTACCTTGCCTGGCAAGCTGTTTGCATTATTATTTAATATATATATAGAATGTAGGTGGTTTCTATTTTTTGAATTTTCCAGGTGTTCAATGGACTAAAGATACTATCAGAGTTTGATGATCAATATAAAGGACCCACAATAAGCTCTCAAGAAGAAATGGTAAAATGATCTATTCTTTGAAATGTTCTTCAAGGTCTATTTATCTGCTCTATGCTTGAATGACAAATTCATGAAAACCTTATTTTTGACACGTATGGTGTATTTAGGAGAAGTCATGGTGCCATGACCAAAAGGGACAGAAAGAATGAAAATATATTCTACTCTCCCTTCCATAATAGCGTTAGTTGTATTCTCTGAACAAGATTAGAAATATTCCAGGGGGAAGCCCCCCTGATGTCCCATCATTGCTAGTGCCCTCTAAAATCTGTAAATAGACCCGGGTGTTTGGATGGCCTATATTCTGATTTAATACTTCCCAATTGATTTGTCAGTGTTAATGTAATATAATTATTCTGTGTTATATTTTAGGCTGATTATTTAGAACCAAGGTTGCTGGGTGTATTAGCTTTTATAGATTTTCAATTGATGAATCCATACATTATAATAGAGGATAAAAGATTGGTAAGTTTATGTTTATATAATATATAATAAGCATCTGTAGATAAATGAGTGTGTGTCAGCTTTAAAAAGGAACAAAATTATGATTGTCCTGCATGCAAGTGATATGTTTCTTTTGATTAATTGGTTAATTTTTACTGTGTCATAGAAAGGAAGCCTATATTTCAAAAAAAAAGAAAAAAAAGCAATTTTTAGCTTAAAATTCACAAATTTATGCACTTTGGAAAAATCTGCTGATTTTTCACCAAATCTCTATATACTTGTAATTATCTTCTCAATATTGGTTAATATTTGATATAATATATGTATATTATTGAAGGCTTTAGAAAGTTTAACAGCTATTATTAGGTTGATGGGACCTAAACATATTAGTTCCATAAGACATAAAGTACTAAATACATTACGGTAAGTGTAATCTAGTCTATGTTTTCATACATCCACATGGCAATCTGGAGGGGATATATTACTGGATTTAAAAGTATCACATTTTTGGGTTATAGATTCTTGTGAAGGAAGAGACTCTGTTTAGTTAATGATGGGGTTATCTGTCACTGATAACAATGTAGCATCGTAGGGCTGGGCGATATTGGTTCAAGTTGATATCACCATATTATGCATTAATATATCACGATATGGGTATATATCAAGATATATTTTAAGTTTGTTTTTTACTGGTTTTTGAAACAAAATTATGATCTAGAAATTTTAAATATAACATAAAACAATACATATCTTTTAAAACACCCCAGTCTTGAATATCATGAAAAAAACATCTGTTTCAAACACCAAGTTACTTGTTAAAATTGTGTAGATGATCTTGTCTTGACTAAAATTTTAGGATATATCATGATGATTACCATATAACAGGATATGACCATATTTCAG